ACTTCCATTTTTTTTTTACACTTTCCAAACTAAGCTTGGCTTGACCCAAATCAGTCAGCTCAGGGACAGATTGAACGAGACCCTTCAGTGCAGGCTGCCTGCTGGGGTGTGATTGAACCTCAGCATCCTATATACATTAGGGTAAAATTCTTCTCAGACCCTTGCAATTGTATGGTTGCATTCAATTAGAAGTTTTAAAAATACTTTGTGTTTATTTGATGAAATATTGGATGACAGTTTTTCACATGGATATTTACTTTTTGTAATAGTAGAAATACATGTTGTTAACTTTCATAAAATAACCATCATAAGCTAGCACCTGCAGAGATTGTATTTGTGTTATGTTTCCCCATCTTCCTGTGCAATTCTGAGAGTCAGGATGGTACCAGATCGCACAGTGATAGCCTCATCCCCAGGCTGCAGCCCAGAGATGAGCAAACGCTCTGCATTATCCGAGGCATTTTTGGATGCAGAGAAGTGGCTGGGGAGCCTGAAGCCCTGGTACATATTTGAGTCTGAGTAGTAGGTCAGGAGATAGCTGGGAGGGCTCGCTGGCTTCTGCTGGTGAGAGTGTATTGCATAGATGCCAGTATTGAGGTTTCTGTGCAGGGTGCAGGAGTCTGGCTCGTGCTCCCAGAGGTGCAGAGAGGGAGGGCGGCTGCGTGGGAAGGGGGAACAGTCTGGGAGAGAGAACCTGGAAACACAGACACTCATGGGTTCTAAGTGTCTCTGCAGTGAGAGAGGAGCACAAGGAGAAGAGGAGCCCAGGCCATGGTGGACGTAGGCTTCTATGGCCCTACCCACGTGGACCTGGGTTGCCTCAGGCCTCTCTTATCCCTGGCCCGTTCGTCCCCCAAAGAAGGGGATGCTTAGGCAAATGTGTTTCCGTGCAACGTCTCTCTCTCCTCCATGTATTCAGAGTCTGAGGCTGGGCACAAGTGGATGCAGGATCAGCAAGGCTCCTGTTTATCTGAAGGGAAGGACCTGGGAGGAGGCAGATGGTAGAGTCACACAGACTACACACAGAGAGGACACAGCTGCTGAGTCCACATCAGTGACCACAGGGCCCACCTCCCTCTGCCCACATCCATCCAGATTTGCAGTTTCTATGGGATTTCTCCATCTGTGAACACACTTTCTGGGCCCTCAGCAACTGCTCCCTGATTGCCCCTGTGGAGCGCATGAGTCTGGTCTTTGCCATTCATGTTTTCACTGTGAGTCCATACATATTTATTACAACATTTGATTGCAAGCACTGAGTTCAGCTAATATAGTTCACATAAATGGGATCTGTGTTTTTGAGAGATTTATAATTTCAAAGTAAAGGTTCACCAGGAATCTCATCCCCTTGAGTGTGAGCAGGACCTACGACTTACTTCTAATAAATAGAATATGATGACAATGATGGAATATATGTAATTATATCACAAAAGATTGTAGCAGCTTCTTGCAAGGAAACTTCCCCTTACTGGCTTGGAGGCAGCATGTGAACCCGCTGGGGAGGGCCATGTAGTAGGAACTGAGAGTGACCTCCCACCAGCAATCACCGTAAACCAAGGCCCTGGCTCTAGCAGGCCCCAAGGAACTGAGTTCTGCCAGTAACCAAGGGGCTTGGATGCAGACGTTTCTCAGTCAAGCTTTAGCTGAGCCTGCAGCTCCAGTTGGCATCCTGACCGCAGCCTTGTGAGGCTGGAGCAAGAGACTCAACTAAACCACACCCAGACTCCTGACCTGCAGGAACTGTGAAGTGATGAATTTGGGTTGTTTTAAGCTGCTCGTTACACAGTAATAGATAACTAATATGCTGACTATAATCTAGTATTGACTTATTGGTGCTTAATCTTAAGAATTTTTATTTATCCTGAATGATTTCTAACCAATAAACTATGTAATTTGCCAATTTAAAAACTCACTAGAAATCAGTAACAGTAAATATAAAAGTACCATAAGAGGAATGAATTGAGAAACTCTCATTATTTGAGGCATTTAGAAAAACAAAAATTTAACATGTATATAAATAGAATATTATATTGAATCTTCACACACTTATCACCAAGATTAAATAAGTATAAATAATTTGACAAATCTCCTTTATCGTAATCTTTATTTTTATTTTTGGCTCTTTATTCAGAAGGCCCTTGGGGTTGGGCCAAAGCCCCCAGCCGGTATCACATTATGCTGTCACCATCTGACCAGTCCTAGGTCTCCAAGCAAACACAGAAACTCCTAACAGGTAGAAGAGTCCTTGGGGGCTTAGAGAAAGCATCTCAGGAGCCATGGGCAAGGGCCAGGCCTACTTTTTGGAGACGTGAAGTTCTTCATCCCACTGTGGTCTGCAATGTGCCTAGACTATGGCTTGCAAAGTTGGGTGTGTGCTTGCGGGACAATTTCCTCACCAGAGACTCAGGGGAGTGCCACAGCTCCTGGCGTTCTAGTGGACCTGTGAGGACAGGGCGAGAGTGGGCCTTGTTGCAGTCTACATTTAAGTGATGGCTGACATAACAGCATCAGACCCCTCAATTCTTAGGGAAAAGATGACAGAGAAATGGATCCTTCAGCTGCTGTTGCTCACAGGCTATTACAGTGAGTGACTGACAACCCAGGGAGGCAGAGGGCGGGTTTGTGTCTCAGTTTTCCGTGTGTCTGGAGCACTGTGTGAGTGTTCATGCTTTTGCCCAAAGTTGAACAGTAATAATCAGTCTCATCCTCAGGCTGAGCCCGCAGATGGTCAAGGAGGCTCTGTTGCCTGAATGAGAGCTTGAGAACAGAGCCAGAATCCTGAAGGCTGATCGGTGCTACCGTACATGAGGAGTTTGGAGGCAGCACCAAGAAACTTGCAACCAGTCAGCACCATTGTATCCAGTGTTGTTGCTGTTCCCAGTGCAGGCGATGCTGACCATCTGACGCAGAGACCCTAACACCAAGGCTTCCTGGGTCAGCCCAGGTAGTGCCCAGGACCCGGAGTAAAGAAGACAAGGACACAGGGAGGGTGATTCTGGAGTTCCAGCCAAGAGCATAGCCTGGGCACCTGGGGAAGGGCAGAGCTCCTGCGTCCTCCTTGGGCCATGTTCCTAGAATCTGAGGGGTCAGGCACCTCTGTAGGGAGTGAGAAGGGAGAGGAGGAGGGGGGTCCAAGCCATGGCAGGGCACTACTGGGCTCTACCTTCTGAGATTCTTCGCGTAGACAGAACACCTCTAGTTGCTTTTGTTCCTGCCCATACCTGAGGGGAGGGAAGTGGCCTTCGTGTAAATCTGTTCTTCCCCTGACTGTCTCAGCCCAAGCCTGTGCCCTAAGTCTGTCATTTTAAGGTGTTTATTTGAAAAATGAAAGATGGTAAGCTCCTGGCCTGGCACTCCCAGGGGCTCGAGGGAACACCAGGCAGTAGGACCCACACTGGGGGCCCGATGGCTGTTTCCCACTGAGAGCACACCCATCAGACCTCTGAAGGAGCTGCTGCATGGCACCCCTTGCTGTCCCAGGCAGTGACTGGCTGTGGCTCTGGTTTACTCCATCTTCACTCCAGGATGTGGGCTGGCAAACCAAATTCTCCTGAGAACCCTGATGACATCATGTCGGAGAGACAGGAGAACTTGGAAAAGCACCAGCCAGTCTCCCACTTCCTGCTCAGAAATGAGCCATGTCCTGTCTGTTTATCTCATTGGCCAAAGCTAGTCACATGGCGAAGCCTGAGGACAGCAGGGTGAGAAGGCATGACATGCATTTCCAACAAAGAGGGGTGTTGCCCGTTTTAAGTTAGAGTGTTACTTTATTCCCATTTTGAAGGTGAGGAAACAGAGGTAAAGTTATGCTAAGTAAATTGTCCAAGTCAGCACCGTCCAGTAAGATCCTCTGCCATGATGGGAATGTCTGGTGTCTGCACTCTCTGGCATGGGAACCACGGGGCACGTGAGTTAATGATGCAATTAAAACACAGCCGGTGGGACTGAGAAATATAATTTTTAATCTCATTCAGGTAATTTAAATTTAGACATCCACATGTAGTTAGTGGGGGTGTACTGGACACTGTAGGTTCAAGGGTAAAAAAGTAGAGGTGGGACCAAATTTGATCCAGCCCTATGGGAAAAGGAAGGACATCACTGTCCACTCAGCTCTGTCACTGCTCTTGTTTGTCAAGACTCCAAGGGTACAAGAACTTGTGTTAGATTATTATTCATCTTTGTATCCTGTGCTTGGAAAGTACTCCCTGGAAGAATAAATAAAGATAGGTCTATATATTTTTATGAGCTTTCTCTAAAAATTTTAAGTATTTATGGCACATCTGGTTTACCAAAAGTTATACTCCACAGTGGGTGAGAGAAGATTCCATTTGAATAGGTAATGGGTTTTCTGACCCCATTTTGCGCAGAACATGATCCATCCACGGAAACCGTAATTTGAGTTCTAGGCACCTGTTTTCCTACCAGATGGGAAAGCAGAAGCAGAGAGCTAATGCCTGCAGCCTCATGTCCAGCTGAATGGTATGAATGGGATTCCCTGCGAAAGCCTTCTTAATAGATGCAGCTTTTCCACGTTCTCCTGTTCTCAAACTAGTGTGACCCTCCCTGGGCATATAGGGAAATAGTGATTCATTATTGTTTGTCATGACAGGGAGCAGGTTGCTACTGGCGTCTGACTTGTGGACACAAAAGATGTTTCTAAATGAACTGTAATGCAGAGAGCTTCCCTCATCACAAGGGATGATCCAGCTCACAGTGTCAATAGCGCCGATGTTTAGAAACACAGTTTTGAACTACGTGTGTTCCATGAAGTGATCACAAAGGGATTAGAGGATCACCCGTCAAGACTTGGGAGAAAATATTTGTGTTTTGGAAAGAAAATACAGGAACTATGAACAGAAAATTTTAACTCCAAAGTTCAAGCAGGAGACAGGAAAATGCAGCCCTCGCTGGTGGGGACAGGCTGAGGGCAGATCAAGGTAGGGACATTCTGGGGAGATTTTGTCTCACTTCCCCATGAGGCTGGAGCACTGTGTGATAACTGCTGCTGTCATAAGACTGACAGTAATAGTCAGCCTCGTCCTCAGACTTCAGTCCAGAGATGGTGAGGGAGGCAGAGTTGGAGGAGCTGTCGATGGAGCCAGAGAACCGATCAGGGACCCCAGAGGGTCTTTGGTCATCACTGTAGATCACAGTGGTGGGGGCGCTGCCCGGGCGCTGCTGGTACCAGTACACATAGCTGCTGTCAATGCTGCCACTGCTGCGGGTGCAGGAGATGGTGACCGTCTGCCCCGGAGACCCCGACACAGAATGGGGCTGAGTGAACACAACCTCAGCCCAAGACCCTGCAAGATGAAGCAAAACAGAGATCAGTGAGGACAGGTCAGGGCTGGTTCCCAGGGAGAAGGCAGAGGTCATCATCCCAGGTGATATCCAGGAGCCCTCCCTGAATTCCCTGCGGGCAGCCACCTGTGCAGTGAGCAAGGAGGGTGAGGAGGAGTGGAGCCCAGGCCATGGTGGAGACGCTCCAGGCTCTGCTTCCTGAGCCACAGCCAGGAATGAGCCACCAGCCCTTCTTATCTTTCACTATAATGCTCAGGGTGGGAAATCCCCATGCAAATCTTCCCCATTTTAGAGGTGGTGCAAGCCCCACCTTCGACCTCAGTACGATCTTCAGCTGAGGAAAAGAAAGACTGTAGGAAGGAGGGGACCCAGAGAGGGCACAGAAACACCTGCCAGATGCAGGGGGAAAGGGGCTTACATCTGCGGAGCTGGGGAGCTTGAGCAGGTGAGCAGGTGCTTAGGTCACAGCGCCATCTGGTGGATTCAGGAGACACGTGGACCCTGGGCCGGGGTTAGTGCTCAGGACTCATGCCCCTCCCTGCTGCTCCCCTCACAATTCCAGCCTTTTCAGATTGGTTTCTTTCACTTAGCAATATGCATATAGTCTTCCTCCATGTCTTCTTGTGGCCTTATAACACCTTTTTCTTGCAGAATGACATTTCATTGTATGCATTATCAGGGCTTGTGTATCCCATTCACCTATTTAAGGACACATTCACTCTTTTCATGTTTTGGCAATTGTGTTCCAAGCAGCTATAAATATTTCTGTGCAGGTTCTTGTGTGATACAAGTATCTCATGCAGGTAAATATCTAGGAATGTTGTTTCTGAATTGCATGTTAAAAATTTGTTTAACTTTGTCAGAAACTGCTAACCTGTTTTCAAAAGTGGCCATAGCATTTTTCACTTCTCACAGCAATGCATGGATTCCTGTTACTTCACATCCTGTAAAACATCTGCTGTTGTCAGTATATTGAATTTTAAGCTTTCTAATAGGAGCCTATTGTTGTCTTGGTATTTAATTTGCATAACAAATGTAACAGATGTATAACAAATATTTTGATATTTATTTATAAATATTTATTGATGATATAAATATAATTGTAAGTATATAACATAAATACAAATAAGATGTGTATAAATCATTCATATATTATATAATGTATATTAATATGTACATTATATAAAATAATACAAATCAAATAAATTTCCCCAGAGATAAAAATATATTTTTATGCTTCTTTAAACATCTAATTACTTTTATGCAGTCTGGATTATTTTAATATTATGTTGCATATTTCTGATTTATGGTCTTTCTTTTTTTTTTTTTTTTTTTTGAGACGGAGCCTCGCACTGTCACCCAGGCTGGAGTGCAGTGGCCTCGCTGCAAGTTCTGCCTCCTGGGTTCATGCCATTCTTCTGCCTCAGCCTCCCGAGTAGCTGGGACTACAGGCGCCCGCCACCACGTCCGGCTAATTTTTTGTGTTTTATAGTAGAGACGGGGTTTCACTGTGTGAGCCAGGATGGTCTCGATCTCCTGACCTCGTGATCCGCCCGCCTCAGCCTCCCAAAGTGCTGGGATTACAAGCATGAGCTGCTGTGCCTGGCTGATTTATGGTCTTTCTTTTAATGCTGCTATGATTTGTCCTGTACTGTGTGTGCCTTTCAGCTTGAGCCTTTAGAGGACTGCTTTTCATTATTCCTAACAGTTGTTCTAAGGGAGCCTACATGCTATGTCTACTTTAGCCTTCCTGCCCGTTCAGCTGCTGGGTTCAATAGGCTTTTTCCACTCTAGTGGGTGAAAACCCGGAAGTCTCTGTTTCATCTGAGCTCTAGTCATTTATTGGGTTACTATCCACCAATGGAAGTTAATTCTTTGATAGCAGTTTTTTGCTTACTTTATGAAGTTTAATTATTTTTACATTTCTTAAAATGCATCTGAAGGCCAGGGGACCCTGTGCATATATGTGGGGCCTTTTCTCTGCCTGGCTGCCTCTTCTCTCCTACTCTGCTGCTGATACACCAATCATTTCAGTTGTAAGATTTGAAATCAGTGCCGCGAGACCAGCCTGTTCTTCTTACCACTTGAGGTATAGTCTGGGAATTGCTTCAGGCAGAACACCAGGGTGATCACAGGGCTGGCCTCATTCTCACTCTATCTCCGGGATCACAGTCATGAGCGGCCTAATTTCTGGTGTTCTAAAGAGTTGTATTTTATTACTGTGTCCTTTCTCTTATGGTTTATGGTGAGAAGACTTCTACTACCTCTTACTCTATTATTACCAGCTACAGTCACAGTCTGTTTCTCAGAGTCCTTTTTTCCCCTTAAGTTGTAAATCTTCTAAGTCTATCCAAGCCCCAAATTTCACAGTTTTGAAAAAAAGAAAAAAAGAAAAAAAACTCTTGTGGTGAAATCCAGTTCCTTACTTGATTGCCCTGATTAATGTAATCCACGACCCACCTGATCCAAACAGTGTCGGGGTGCTGGAACTAAGTTTGATACAGAGACCCCAAAGGGAGGAAGCACCTGCACAGGTGAGCACAGTTCCCAAAAATTCTTCCCTGTGGGTTTCCTTGCCCCAGCCATTTTTTCCTATCCAAGGAGATGTCCGATGTCACAAAAGACATGATTTTGCAATGTTAAGGATCATTTCCAAGTTTCCGTTTGAATGATGTCACCTATATTATCATCCTAAACAAATAGCGTATTGTACTATCCAGAAGTAGATTTTCTGGGATGCCATTTTGGAAGACTATTTCAGCCATGGGTAAAAGTATGGTCTGTTTTCTGGTGTCTTGTCTCTGGAACAAGATATATAGAGGCTGCAAAGTCTGTCCTATTCCTATTGATATCCTCAGGCTGAGGAATAAAGTTGGGCCATTCTTTTCTTAGGAATCGCTCCTGTGTCAAACCCACCTGCATTCCTCAGTCCATGAAAAATGACTGAAGTGCAGGGAAGTTTTGCCCTCCCAGTCAGGACACTGACATCAAGAGGCCACATAGACAAAGTGTGGCAAAGTGGTGACCGTCTTTGTGGGGCGCTTCATGCCCCAGTTTGGATTTAGTCCTCAGAAAAGTCCCTTCTGTGATGGCAAACGAGCTCAATATTTCCATAAATGTGTCCTTGGCAGGGGTTGCCTGATGACTGGCTTTGGACCTAAAGGGCCGGGATGCTCCATCCATAAAAAAGCAGACTGAAAAGGATGTATTTTTCCACTTTCTTTTTGAATTTAGAACTCAAAAGAACTTTCATAATAGAGACAAGCATCTAAGAGATCAGCTCTGTTGTTTCATTCATGTTCTCAAGTACTTCAAAGGGTCTGGACTTCTGAGATACTCAACATATTCCCCTCACCAGTTTGGCAGTGACGATTTCAACCAATAAAGCTTCCACCAACATAAAGGGGGTGCCTCCTGCCCCCAGAATGGCTCAGGTGGTCCACGCTACCAAAAGCTCACATTCAAAAGAAGCCGTTTTCCTCACTGGGTATCACCTGCAAATGCAAACACCACAAAGTCACGTGGTCTTGTCACAAAATGGCCTTGATTGAGGGAAGATTACAAGAATGGCTCTGCAAAAGCCACAGCTTTTCCACCCTCTCATGCACCTCACAAGGAGCAAAGTGAGCAGGGCTGGGGGCGGTGGGATGGATGTGGGTAAAGAGCCATCCCTGGAGCTGGTCAGAGAAGCAGCTGGCTTGGTGCCTGCTGGGTCCAGGTGTTCACACTGCATCCCTGCATGTCTACATGCCTGACCCCCATTGACAGCCCTGCGCATCAAGGCCTCATGTAACTTCCTTGGTTGAAACACTACACTCGTGTTGTCACACACACATGCTGGGAATTGTGTTTGTCCACACGGACTCTGGAGAGGGTGCCTGGAAGCTTGCCCCGATGTCTCTCAGACTCTTCGTCATGGGCCTCTCTTTCTGCTGATGTTTAACGTGTGTGATCACATTACAATAAAGCAACAAAAACCACAACTAGGAGAACAGCTTTTATGAGTTCTGTGAGTCCCGAGGTTTGTCATGGAGCCTGTGGATGGTCTTCAAAACCCAACACACCACGATACAGGTCCTGTTTGCCAAAACTAGTTGTATCCATTTCCTATTGCTTCTGTAACTAATAGGGTGCCCTAAAACAACAGAAACATATTTTCTTACAGATCTGTAGGTCAGAAGTTTAATGCAGAACTCAGTGGGGGTAAACCCAATGTGTCTGCAGGGGTGTGTTTGTCTCTGCAGTTCCTAGATGAGACTTTTGTCTTTTCCAGCATAAAATGGACTAAAACAACAGAATATTCTGAAATATCACACAGGCCATGGAAATAACCATAGGTGAAAGAATTGCCTTGATATGTAAAAAAGATTTAAATGCTAAACTTATGTGCTGCAACTAAAGCATTGTGGGTTTTTTTGTTTTTGTTTTTGTAGAGATGGGGATCTCCTTGTGCTGCCTCGGCTGGTCTTGAACTCCTGGCCTCAAGCAACCCTCCTACGAGGGCCTCCCAAAACATCAGGATTGAGATTACAGACATGAGCCACCATGCCCAGCAAAAGCACTGTTTAGAGATACAGTTATAGTTATATATGCCCCTATTAATAAAAAGACAGGTCTCAAATAAGTAACCTCAATTTCTACTTTAAAAATCTAGAAAAACAGAAAGGCAAACGAAATATAATGAATGCAAGCAGAAGGAAGGAAGTGAAGATTAGAGTAGACATTAATTAAAGAGAACTCTAAAAACAGTTAGAAAAATATCAAAACCAAACGTGTTTCAAAGTTTAACAAAATTGACAAACCTTTAATTGGTCTAATACATAAAATGAGAGTTGAAGAAAAAAATCACTCCAATATTAAAAAAAGTAAAAGGAGAAGACATTACTACCTACCTTTTATAAAGAAATAAAATAGTGAAGCAAACTCATGTTAAAAATTAGGTAACTTTGATGAAAGGGACAAATGCCTCATAAGACACAAACTACCAAAACTAACTCAAGAACAAATGGAGAATCAGAATCGACAAGTTAGGAGACTGAATTAGTAACAATAATAATAGTAACCTCAAAGAAAAGCTGAGGCCCAGAGAGTGTCTATGTTTAATTCTACCACACATTTAAAAAAAGAACAGTCATTAAATCTTTAAAAGTTCACTGGAGGCTGGATGCGGGGACTCATGCCTGTAATCCCAGCACTTTGGGAGCCTGAAGTGGGAGAATTGCTTG